CATTTGTAATCCATAGGGCGGCGCAGAAAATGTTTGGAAACCACTGGGGGGGCGCAGAAGAAAAAGTTTGGGAACCACTGGGTTAGATAATGAGTTCTGCCTTCCAGAGTGAGCTTCTTAAAGGCGTCTTGTCACTTTAAATCCTAAAAAGCTGCTGCTGCTCTAAGCTCACATTTCTGTTTTTAAAAATACATTTTTATTGGTCTAATGTAATATTGTAATTATTATTTTTTTTTTATTTCACTTTCTGACCTCATACACTGCAAAGCCGATGGTTTCCAGGTCCAGGCCTTCCTTCCTGAGCTTCCGCCTGTTCTTCTGCATGAGAGCAATCACCACGCTGCAGACGTCATCGTCATCATCAGCGTCCTCCAGCTGCAGCTTGAACTGAGGGTTGGTCCAAAACGTGTCTGCACAACACAGACGTTGACGTAAAACGGTTCGTAAGAGAAACGAATTGCAGCATCACTTAAAGACAAAAGAGACAGTTCTGGAGAAAAACCGAGCACTTTTTCATCAATATTAAGGACTTATTTACACCTAAGCAAGCTCATATATCTGGTTGCTTCAAAGTTAGTTTTGTCTTTTTTCAAGTGTGCTAAGAAATAAGATATTTGCACCAGAAACTAGACAAAAATACTTTAAGATTTTATGTTTTTACAGTGCATGTTCTGCTGTCTGCAGTAGATCTGACACAATGACTCCAAATAACACTGGATAATGTTTTTAATTCTCAAAATAATTACAAATGCATGTTTTAGTAGTTTTTGTTTTTATAGTAACATTTGCATTTAATTTAAAGCACAAAATGTTGCAAAAAGTACCAGTTTTATGGTCTAGATGTATTTTTCTTGCCATGACTTGGAAACTGTGAACTTTATCCTTTTAAACATTTTGCACAAATATCCAAATTCAATATAAGAAAATGCATTTGTCCTCTTTTTGTAAATTAATTATAATTTTGTACATTTTGATTGAAATAAAATGGTGGTTCTTTAAAAATTACAAAATTCTCACAGTAGCTATTTACCAAACATTACAAGTTGTCTTTTCTCAAACCTTCATGTGAAATTAGTGGCTCTAACTGAGTTAATTCAGGTGAACTGAGGTAAAAATGTCTCTCTGGGCTGTAACGGTCGCAGACTTCTGCTCCAGATGAAAAGTCTCACCGATGTAGTTCCTGCAGCCTCCGGCGGTGGAGCCGCGGATCCAGTTGCCCTCGAAAACGTTGACCTCCCAGTGGCGCTTGGTGGTGTCATCCAGGGCGTCGGGGCTCATGTTGCAGATCTCCACCTTGTCATAGTTCCTCTTGAAGTCCTCAAACTCCATCCTGGAGTTAAAACCACACAAATAAAACCGTTTCTCTGTGGCTTCTGCATGTGGAAGAGTTTATGAAATACAACCTTAACTTCTCTGATGGGTCCGTGCTTTTATTGTTTTTATTTTGTGATAATTGTGATTCAGTTATTTTTGGCTGATGTTTGGCATGAATACAAGGGCACAATTTAGGGGCATATATGAATTTAAAAAAATAAAAAGACAATGAAAAAGCATGTGTATATCGAGTTGTGGAGTGAGTTTGGCTAAAGACATGAAACAATGCATAAGCATAAATATATTGAAAAAGGGTATAAAATTATATTTCTAACAGTTAAATGGAAGATGAAACATAGACATAAACAGTAAAATAATATGCAATATTCTTATTATGCAAATGATTCAGATACATATATTTAAAAAAATGCACATATATAGTTTAAAATTGTGTTTTTACTTAAGATATTGATATAAACTGCCGCATGTATTTTGATTTAAGCTACACTGAAGAATAACAGTTAAAAAACTGTAAACTTCTTTTTCCTTTTCAAACAAGGACAGCAGCTAAAATGATTACCGTATGTTGGAAAACTGTTTTTTGTGTGTGCATTGTATGTAAATATACATGCATTCTTGTTTTGTTTGTTTTTTTATTTTTGATTCTTTAATTTTCATCAGATAAAATAAAAAAAATAAGGCTGAGGTCTCACCAAAATTCACCGTCATCAGTTGAATTCTGCAGGATTCGTGTCTTTTCTGCTTTGTCGACATGATCCCACTCTTTGGAACTGAAACAGACAGGAACCGGAACATTCAGACAGGAACCGGAACATTCAGACAGGAACCGGAACATTCAGACTGGAACCGGAACATTCAGACTGGAACCGGAACATTCAGACTGGAACCGGAACATTCTTGATATGCAGAAAGTCTTAACTGTGCAATATGATTGATTCTGCTGATTCATGTGATTTATGGAAAGATGAGGAAAAATTGTGTGAATAAAAGGTTAAAAATGTAAAAAAAAAAATCTAAACTGGGCTTTACATGTCATAATAATGTAAGTCTTTTATTTTGAAAGTCAGAATAGGTCAGTCTTTTCCTCTTACTTGTCACTCCAGCGCCCGTTCCACTCGACTTGACCCCATGGGTTTCTGATTCGAATCAACTTCACTTTCTGGCCTCGGAAATTCACCTGAAAAGCAAAATAAGATTTTAGTTGTGATTTCCCCCGGCTTAGCTTTACATAGTCCAACATAGTACGACAAGTTAAAGGTAGATTTCTCTGAAAAGTTCAGATCAGGTGACAGAATGAAGATTGTTTAAAATTTAACGCTGTTTACTTTATTAGTAACTGGCATCACTGGAGCATTCAAACAAACAGAGTTTCTCTTCAACATGAACTGAAGTTGATCTGAGTTCAAACTTTCTGTGAACTGATGTCAACAAGGCAGGTGGAAGTGGAAAGTACTATTACGTCATTTTATACGTCACTTTTGATTAATTAATTACATTGATTTTAACACAATAAACATTGTAATTACATGAACATTTTAAAAACATTAATCGCTCTGGAGCCTTTATAGTTGTGTGTTTCTGGTAGGCCTGTAAATCTGCCGCACACCTCAAACAGGGATGGACGACAACGCTGCTTCTCTTGACCCACTGGGTTAATTTTTGCTTAAAAAACTGATGGGACGCTAGAAAATACTATTGTTGTGTTCAAGACGTGCTAACAGGAGTCAGTGAAGCTATTCAAGCCTAAAATAGCATCTCAAAGCAGGACAGTCGTCCCAAACGCTAATGTCAGTGTCAATAATCATTTCTAAAAAAGCTTTTTTTCTAAGAAGTTACATGAATAATCAGTGGTTCTTGAAATAATGGAAAGCTGAAGAGGTATAAGGACAATTGCATCAATCTGATGCATATAATAGATTAAAAATAAATATATTTTGTTTTTTTTTAGCTCAATAATTTGGCAGAAGATAGACTTCAATATGTCAAGCAACACATATATAGAAAAACATAATATGATAATGTAATATGAAGAATCTTTCAGTTTAGTTGTTTTCCTTGTAAATGCCTTTTTTAAGCTCTTTGAAATTCATTCGTCTGATCTGTCTCCTATATGTTTTTTGGTAAGCGTTAAGATCGACATCTTCACTTGGATGTCTAGTTTGATAATCATGTACATTAGTACTAAAAACCTATTTAGAATATATGATCTGGTGAGTAGTCTTACCTCTTCCAGGCCGGTAATGGAGTATGCATGACCTTTCACCAGGCCTGTGCTGGTCTTGGCTTCAGACTCTGCTGAGCTGGTGATCTGGACAAAAAGATAAAAATACAAATCAAAGAATTCAGACATGTTTGAACCAGAAAGCTGAGCTTCATCATCATAAAAGACATTCATTAACACATAATGTTTTGATGATGTACTCTTACATCAATGGAGCATCCCATCATGGATCCTCTGTCCAAGGCCTTCTTCATGATTGTGAACAGGTTATCTGGGGCGCTCTTGGTTTCATACATCTCTCCAACTCCCCCAGTGAAGTCCTCCATGGCCTCCATGGTGCTGCCGCCTTTTAGGGACTCATAGCTGCCGTTAACTCTAACATAAACCATAAAGAAAACTGGATTAAGTAATGAAACTCCCTACAGCTGCAACTTTATTCCAGTCAGTAGTTGCGTTTTCATTACAAATGTCCGCCATTCTGCTAATGTCGAAAAGAAAAACACAATTTCGCAATTGCAGTGTTTCCGATATATACGGAATTAAATTAAATTCACATGTGAATAAAGTTATTCACGCAATAAGTTATTAAAAAATCATGACAGCGATTGATGCAAACATTTACATGAGATTTATTCATAGTTCAGCCAAGGCGCTAGCACATGGCTAGCATAATCTATCAGCCAATCAGAAGAGACGTTGGCGTCTAGCGTCAACGTATGAGGCTCTTGGTGGGATTATAGTCCGTAAATTTACGAAAGAGTCTGAGATATGGATTAAAGACAACTTTTAATGAACTGTGCAATGCTGCAAGAGCTCTGGTGGAACTACCTGCACACTGTCCGAAAAAACAACAAAAAAACATTCTCCTATTACTTCCTGTCATCTTCTTCGTGGGTTTCCGCCAGTAGTTGGTCACGTGACTCGCGTGACGCGGGAAAAAAAGTGTTTCCATATGGCTGAAAAACCGCTTCATCCCAACGACAAAACTTCTTGTCGAAAAACGTCAGTTTTATTTTCGGAATTAGCGAGTTTCCATTAAGCGAATTTATTTTTGTTCTTTTATTTTGCGCAATTGTATGGTTAATGGAAACGCAGCTAGTGAGATCTGCTGTCGGCGTTGCTTACTTGGCGTAGGCTTTCTCCAGCAGGGCGCTCCAGAACTCGTCGTTGGAGGCAGAGTGAAGCATGATGAGCCGGTTTCTCACCGTCGGCAGCCGGTCGTCCACCACCACGTCCAGCCATTTGTTATGTTGCCAGAACTTATAAAACAGAACGCATCATAAAATAATTCAATCTGGTCTCCCTTCATTGTAAAAACACTGTAAATATATATATAAAGTAATTATTTCCCCTTTGGGCTCTATCCATCCAAACGCTTAGAACAGAAAAATGTGTAGTGGTGCCATAGCTTTCTCCAGCTGGACAAAAACAAAACTTAAGCTGTTATCTTTCAGGATAAAGTCAGGGCACAGCTCCAGTTATTACAATTAGAACAGGGGTGTTAAAAGGGAGGCCCAGGGGCCACTTGTGGTCCTTGGACTGATTTTGTGCGGCCCCCAACTACAATTAAAAAATGACAGAAATTTGGCCCGTAGATTCAGATGGATACTTTCAATTTGTAAGTTCAACATAAAATATTTGTGTTTTTATAACCAAGTTTTAACAAAAGGTAAAACCAAGAGATTTTTACTTAAAAGTCAACTTTACTACACCCAAATCAGCTTTTATTCTTTCTTATACTTGGCTATATATAGCAAGAGTTTTGAAACAAAGTGACTCCAAATTCTGTTCTTATTACTGAAAATAAAGGTATTCATCTGAGCCCAAAGGAAACTGAAAAATAAATGCCTATTTTAATACATCAAACATGCAAAATCTACGATGGAGTACTAGGAAATTTAATCCTTTTTTTCTATCTACAGTGCCCCTAATGCACTGCCGTGAAAATCCCTTTCAAGTTTTGGCTCTACAGAAAATATCAGGCTACTTTATTTGATTGAGAAAGTAGTGATCAGGCCCCAAATCTGGTGATGGACTCTGACCTGAACCTTGAGACACACATAAAGACAGTTTCAAAGTCAGCCTTTTATCACCTGAAGAATATCGAGTTCCATGAAATCAAGACCAAAACCCCACCTACTCAGAGTTGTTTTTAACTACTAGTAAGTTGGACATTGATCAACATATTTGTGTATTGGCTAACTGGCTTATAGGAGGAAAAATTAAAAGTTAATGCATAAATTAAACTATATTCTCATCCACCTTTTCCCTTGAAGCTTTTGTAAAATAAAAGTATCATGGCATTTAAAACACATAAAATTCAGTCTCTCCTGTCAGGAGTCAAACAGTTGTGTACCTGGAAGTGAAAAATGCCGGCGTATCCATGGTCGAAGTCTTGATCGTGGGGAACAACTCGAGCCAGAGCTTCTTTCTTCAGAGTTAATGAGGCGATGGCTGCTAGGAGCCAACAGTCCCCTATGGAAACAAAACAATATGTACCCCAAGGATGAACAAATGAAAAATATGGCTGTGAAGCAATGTTCACACAGAAGGTCTTAATGGTCAACTCTATATTAGGGCCATTGAAGACAGGGAAAAAAAAGAGGAAAAAACTCAAGGATTTGGAAATGAATCTCAGAAATTTTTGAGAAAAATAAGAAAAGCTCAGGTTTGAAAAGTTGAACATTTACCAGAAAAAATTCAGAAATTTTCTAGAAAATAGTAGTCAAACATTTTTGTCTTTTACAAATGAATTTTTCTGAGATTAATAATAGCAAAATTTCTTATTTTATTCTAGCAAATTTTTGACTTTTGGACATCAGAAATATCAGTTTTTTGAAAATTTCTGTGCTTTTGGCAAAAATTTACTCATCCTTTTTTTTAATCTACAATGGCCCCAAGAGTCGTACAATTAAAATTTTTGGATGAAATCCGATGTTTGTTTTTTTGTGTGGTCGTTCATACTTCAAATTACCGCAATGAGACTTCTGTGTGAAACGTTTACGTCCTTAAAGAGAACCCGGATGGCAGAAGAAGAACGTTGACATCACTCACCCAGCGCATTGTTTACGGAAGTAGTAAGCGATATTCACACCGCAGGTCTCGATGCCAAATCCATATTTTTGCTGAAATCAGATATTTTTTCGTTCATACTACCAATCGCAACGAGACTTGTGTGTGACGTCCCCAAGGTGACCCGCATGCGCAGACGAAGAATGTTGACGTCACACAGCAGCGCTCTGTTTACGGAAGTAATGGACCTTACCACAGGGTCCGCGTTTCATTGGCTAATGCCCATTTGACGTCACTGCGCAGCTACCACGTGCTTGACCGTCTCACAAACAAAAGCTAAAGTAGTATACACATGTTAATGTAGATTGTGGACTAGCAGACCACAATCTACACAATCAAAGTTTTTGCGACAGAACTCAAATAAGAATGGTTCTCTACTGTCAGTGGGGAATCTGTACAGGCGATGTCAGGTATCCTGATCGTATTTGT